TTGAATCCGATTTAGTTACAGAGTTGACCTTCCGATAATCCATGCAGACTCAGTGAGTACCATCGGGTTTAGGAACCAACACAACTGGCGGACTCCACTCACTTTGACTCAGCTCAATGATGTCTTCTTGGAGCATCACTTCCAGTTCCTTCTGAACCTGTGCTGTTTTGAGAGGATTAAGCCTGTAGGGGTGTTAATTTATCGGAACAGCATTCCCTACTTCAACCTCATACACTATAGTATTAGTCCTGCCCATTCTATTCCTACATATGTCCTCATATTGCTGCAATAAGACTTTCAATTCAGTTCTCTGTTCCTGAGACTTACAGCTCACTATCCTATCCCATTCTCCAAGGACTTCCTCATTATTTAACTTATTTTGAGGCACTCAAATCCAAATCATCTGGTTTTAATTCCTCACTCTGAGTAGCAGTAACTAATACCTGTTTTTCCGGTTCCCTGTCATAGCAAGGTTTCAGCATATTCACAGTATATACCCCAATAAAGTTTTTTCCCATCTGGGATCTTTACCAGATAATTTACCCGAATCAACTTCTTCTCAATCTGACAAGGACCACTAAACCTTGCTTCAAAGTGATCTCCTACCACCAGTAACAGCACCAATACTTTATCCCTATGGGCAAACATACAAATTTTAGATTTCTTATCTGCTTCTTGCTTCATTAAATGCTGTGCCACCTTCAGACGATGTCTAACTAATTCATCTACTCTGTTTAATCATTCTCTCGCCTCAGATATATAATCCAATTGTGAGATCCCTGACTTCAGGCCTATCAACTTTTCCTTAAGTAATTTCAAAGGCCCTCTTACAATATTAAAGGCCCTCTTACTTCATGTCTGAATATCAACTCAAATGGAGTAAACTGAGTTGATTCATTTGAAGCATCTCTAATGGCAAACAATATAAATGTGATACCTTTATCTCAATCATTTGGGTAATCCTGGCAATGAGCCTTCAGCATGGTCTTTAGGATCTGATGCCAGCTTTCCAACGCTGCCTTGGATTCAGGATGGTACGCACTTGATTTAAAGTGTTGGATGCCTAAACTATCCATGGCCTCCTTAAATAATTTGGTAGTAAAATTGGACCCTTGGTCTGACTGAATCTATCTGGTTAGTTTGTAACAGGTGAGGAAAGCAAACAACTTCTCACAACCTTTTATGCCTTACCATTCTGTAATGGAAATGCCTCCAGAAACCTGGTAGATCCATTCATTAGCAAATATTAGTTCCCACTTTGGGTTTTAGGGATGGGACCTATACCATCAATTATAACCCAAGTGAAAGGTTCTTCAAATGCAGCAATCAGCAAAGGTGTTGGCTTGATTACTGCCTGTGGCTTTTCTACCATCTGACACGTATGACAGGTACGGCAAAACTCAACCACATCTTTATGTAATCCAGGCCAACAGAGTGCTTTTATATCTTAGTCTGAGTCTTCCTCACTCCTAGATGATCTCCTACAGGTAATTCGTATGCTACCAGCAAAACATCTGATGCGCTGCTTTTTTGAGATTTCCTTGACTACCTCAATTAATGCCACTGGTTTAGCCTCTTTTACCACATTCTTTTTCCCAGTGCCCTTCTTAAACCACCAGCACTGTGACTTTATGCGTCCCACCTTATTGCAGTGAAAATACCTTTTCCCAATGCCTCTCTTAAACCACCAGCACTGTGACTTTGAGTCCCATTCCATTGCAGTGAAAACACCTGAGGCCTTTCACCCCCTTGGGTTTCTTTTTTCACCTGTGATAAACTGTTCCCAGTGTGATCTACTTTTTGTTTTTCATGAATGATCTCCCTTTTCCCCAATTTCTATCCCTCACAGAATGAAATTGCTGTTAGAAGCTAAGTTTTGATTTATGCACGAATACATACTCGTCTGCTATCTCTGCAGCTCTTCTCACTGTGCGAACTTCCTGTTCCTCAACACGAGTTCTTATCATTTCAGGAAGTGAGTTTTTAAACTCTCCAGCTGAATAATCTCTCTGAGATCCTCATATGTCTTTTCGATCTTTAATGTTCTCACCCATCTTTTGAAGTTACTATGTTTAATTCTTTCAAATTGACAGAAGTCTGACCTGGTTCATCCTTTATGTTTCTGAACCATTGTCTATATGCTTCTGGTACCAATTTGTAGGCACTCAAAATAGCCTGTTTAACATCTTCATAATCTCTTGACACCTCATCTGACAGTGCTGCAAACACCTCACTAGCCCTGCCTATCAATTTGGTTTGAATTAACATTACCCACACAGTCTCCTGCCAGTCTATCTGTTTAGCCAATTTCTCAAAGGAAATGAAAAAGGCTTCTACATCTTCTTCATCGAATTTTGGTAGTGTTTTGACATATTTGTATATATCCCTACCAGGTCTTTGGCTACGATGGGTTTGCTCATCCTCACTATCTTCCTCTCTAAGCCTGCCTTCTACCTTCCTCTCCATCCTATTATGTCGACTTTCCTGTCTAATTGCTAACTTCTGAAGTTCAAACTCTCTTTCTCTTTTTCCTCTGCTATGAATCTTCTTTTCCTTTCCTTTTCTCTTTCCTCTGCTGGTAACCATAATTCAAACTCTTGCCTTCCTTTCATTCTCTAACTCCAGTTGTCTTATTTGCAATCTAATTTTTTCTAACTCCACTGCAATTGACTGTTTCTCTGATATACCTAAATGCTTGACCAACTCAGTTACAGTTTCAGCTTTCCTCTTATCCCTAGTTAAATGCAAGTCTAGCCTGTTTGCTAATTCCAGAAGTGTCTCCTTTCTCGGTCTTCCTAAACTTGCTTGGCAAATTTGGGAAGCATCTTCAACCCCCAGAACCTCTTTCGCAATGTTAAGAGCCATTTCCATCACTTTTAACTTAACTGCCCACAAGTAACCAAAATTAAACCAATTTTCCACTTCTCCCCTAAGTTTTATTTAAAGATCCTGGACACTAATCCCCAAGTCTGTTTAAATCTGCTGGGACCTTGCATACCCCAAATCAGTCCATCTGTTCAGATTCCGTACACGACCTGGCCAGATCTGGACTTGATCTGTCCAAATCCCCGACTTGAGCCTCCAATCTATTCCCCCAAAACTTCATAACATTGCCAGCTTCCTTGCCTACTCTAATTTTGTTCCCTGGGTAATCATTTAATTATTCTCTGTCATTCTTTATTTTCCATCCATACAAAAGAAATTTCCACAACAAAACATTAGACAATTGAAGGACTTAGTCATGCATAATAGTTCATTGTTCCTAAATTTCCAAAAACCTTGTAAACAGATCATTAAACTAAAAAACCTCACCACCCTAAAAAAGGGAGCGTCTGTATATTTGTGGCTTCCTTAAATAAGGTTAGTTGAGAAAAGATTGCATAAAAGACATTAACATGGCAGAAACTGTAATAATGGTCAGCAAAGCCACAGCTTATTCATTCCCAAAATTGCTATATTAGAAGTATTTTTTCACTTTAATTATTAGAAAGAACCAACAGATAGTATCAAAGAGCAGGTGGACACAAGCTTCATTCTGCTGTCACGGCACATAGCATTGTCTTGGACAGAGGTCAGAGAGAAGGGAAACACAATGACCGCCCCCGTTGAAAGGTTGCCATTCACAGCTTGGCCTTTGTGACACAAAGGACCAGGAGAAAGTTTTCCAAGGAGATAACAACTTTATCAAAATGTCCTTTCCTTTCAGTTTTGGGAAAAAGAAAGAAATTCATGGGTTGTGGGCTGCACTGGCTTGGTCAGCATTTACTGCCCTCAAGGTTGTGGTGGTGAGCTGCCACCTTGAACCCCTGCAGTCTATGTTGTATATGCCATTAGTGTGGGAATTCCAGGATTATGAAGGAACGGTGATATATTTCCAAGTCAAGACAGTGAGCGGCTAGGAGAGGAAGTTGCAGGGGGCAGTGTTCCCACGTATCTGCTGTCTTTGTCCTTCTAGATGGTAGTGGTTTTCAAGGTGCTATCAAAGGAATCTTGGTGAATTTCTGAAATGTATCATGTGGATGATATACACTGTTGCTACTAAGTGTTGGTGGTGGAGGGAGTGAATGTTTGTGGATGTAATGCCAATCAAGTCGACTGCTGTGTCCTATAGAGCATCAAGCTTCTTGAGTGTTTTTGTAGCTGCACCCATTCAAGCAAGCATGGTGTATTCCATCACACTCCTGACTTGTACCTTGCAGATGATGGACAGGCTTTGGGGAGTCAAAAGTTACTAACCACAGGATTCCTAGTCTCTGACCTGCTCTTGTAGCCACTGTGTTTATATGGCTAGTCTAGTAACATTCTGATCAATGGTAGCCCCCAGGATGGTCACAGTGAGGGGTTCAGCAATGTCCATGTCTTTGAATGTCAGGGGATGATGGTCAGAATGTTACTAGCCACTTATCATCCAAACTTAGATAAGTCCGGGTCTTGCTGCATTTGGGCTTGTAATTTTTCAGTAAGGGGCAGTCATCAGCAAACATCCCCAATTTTGACTTTATGGTAGAGGGAAGTTCATTGGTGAAGCAGCTTGAAGATGGAGTTAATTGTTATGGCTTCAAAAAATGTAAAGTACATTTACTTCCAAGTTAAATTATTTTTCTTCCAACTTTCTAGAGTAAAATAATGCGTAGGTCTTAGAAAACAAAGGGAGATTTTTCCACAACAAACTTAATTCACCATTGCTACATATGGAGAAAACATTGCTCCTTCCAGCAAAAACTTGGCTTGCACAACCATCAAACCAGGGAAACATCTCCTAGTGATTAGCTAGAAATGCAATCCAGCTTTAAATTATAAACTGCTCAATCACATTACACAATTGCGAACATAATGATGTTTTTACATATCACAGCAATCCACAAAAACCTGCTACTGCTACTTACTAAGGTCAGAGTATATGTATGCATCACACCCTTTTAAAATGTTTCAAGAATATCCTATTCCTCTGTCACCACCACCCTCACTTGCTTCTTGCCACAATTTTGAGGATTCTATACCTGTGACGTGGGGAGAAAGAATGCTTCCGAGAAGAGGAAGATGAAGTTGACTTAGGTGGAGCTGGAGAGACTGATTTTTTCCTTGCTGTTGGTGGGGAATATTCTCTGGAACGAGAAGAGGTGCTGCCAGACTGTTCCTCAGGACTTAGAGACCTCTTCTGTCTATGCAGGCTATCTGAATGATCCCTGAAAGTTGAACAAGACAGAGATCTAACCTGCAATGGTGTATTGTATCATTTCTTCACTTTCTCTGCCAAGTGTGGCAGAAGCCATACATCATCTAAAATATTCAGAATTTGTAAGTTTATTTCATATCGGGCAGAGGAAATCTCGTGGATGTTTTAAGAAAAAAGATTTAATTCATGACTTTTGCTAGAAGAATAATCTTCTACAACATCACAACTGGATCCCATGCACACATTTTTTTCCCTTTTTAATCTTAATCTGGTTAATGGATAAAATTATTGGGAAGAGAAAGTGCTGGAAAGAGAAAAGTGTTAGATACTGTCTAGTTAGGTAACATGGATTTAAGAGGGCACTGTGACATTTCAAATGATACGTTAGCCCTTTGAAATTGATAATGAAATTTGACAGATGTTTCAGTGGCATAGGCTTGTCAATTAAGCAACACAGAATTTGTTGCATGTCACTTAATATTCTTCCAGCCATTAGTAAGCTCAGACTGCTATTCCATTTATCTGATTTACTGGAACACAGATCAACAGTAAGTGATTAATTCCTGAAATAAATAGCTAAATAAAGATTAAATACTGCGCAACACGGTTTAACATTCATAATGCAGAACGATGTTCTGATTATTTTGATGTTCCATTTGGCTGTAAGCAGGCGTTAACTGTTAAAAGATTAATTAGCACTTTAATAGAATCACAAACTTCTTTTAGATGTTCAATGGGCAGCCTGGTTTACCCAATATTAATTTGACAATTGGCGGCAATTATATAAAAAGACAGCCTTAAACACATTCATTGGAAAATGTAATTGGCTTCAAAATGCAAAGCTAAATCAATGCGCGGATGCTTGAATTTTAGATCTATTTTTACATCAGCCTGTGCTTTAGACTGGAAAGTGTAGAATGGAAGACGATGTTTAATTTAAATCTTCATTAATCATTTGAAAAGCTCATTGTTAGATATTCAGCTGATAATTAAATATGGCTGCACAGGATACATAAAGTGCAAATCAAGGGCTAAGTGTAATGAGGAGGACAGGTTGGATATATTTGATTCCTCCGAAAAATGCACTGTGAGAGGGCTACTGCAGTGCTGTGGTACTGACCCCACCTCTGAGCCAGGAGACCCGGGTTCAAGTTCTAGCTGCTTCAGAGGTGTGTAATTACATCTCTGCACAGGTTGATTGAAAATATCTGAAATATGTATTGAATTCCAGTGAATACAGACAGACTAAATAAAACCGGTATGTTGGGAAAAAAGAACCTTTATGTTTACAAGCTAAAGGTTTCCTCTGATCCTTCAGTCCTGTTTTGTGTTGGGGCATCAGGTCTACAGTATCCATGTAAACAATACTAAATAATGCATCTATATTAGGCTACCAGATATCCAAGAGTAATAATTTCAAGTAAGATACCATCTCGAACGTAGGGCTTCTGTGGCACAATGGTAGTGTCCCTACCTGTAGCCCAGGAGGCCTGAGTTCAAGTCCCAACTGCTCTAGAGGTATGTAATAATATCTCTGAACAGGTTGATTAGGAAATATCTACCACCTCTAATGTAGTCCATTCTGTATGATCATGTATGGCAGACATGACAAGATGGTTAGGTGTTTGGTAAGGAAGGCAACCAACACAAAATAAGATTAAGCTTTTTCAATAGACGGTATCACTCACCTGTGCTTTTCTTTTCTCTCTTTATGCCTTTCTACATCCCTTCCTTTTTCTCTACTTTCACGGGCCTTTTCTTCAATTCTCTCCTTTGCCCTTAGTTTTTCTTTATGTTTTTTAGTTACAGGAATCTCTTCATGAATAGGGGGTGGTGGGCTAGGAGTACGAGGCCCTTTCTTTTTACCCTGTTGCACCTTTGAAGATCTTCTGAAAGGAAGACAGGATATTCTTATAACAAAGGCCTCTACTTGGTTAAGTAATAGAAGCATCTCAAATTATTCACAGGTTGCCAGGTTCAAAGGTAAAAAAAACAGTGGATTTTACAGAGGTGCTTTGCGTCTAACCTGCTGCTGGTGAATTGGTGAAAGACCTGCCTTGCCTTCTCTGGGAAGGCCCATCAGGATTAAGCAAAACTTAGTCACTTAATAGCCAACAGCAGGCTTTTCTTAGGATCAAGAGCCCAAGCGGGGCGGAAATCCCACTTAATGAGAACTGCTGACCAATCAAGGGCCTGCAGTTCCTTTGAATGGCAAATCCAAAGAGGAGGCTGACATGGATCAATACAAACCAGTGGCTCAGAATGGAGAGGCACCCAGACCTCAAGAAAGGCACTGCAGGAGGGGTTTCACAGAATGGGAGTTGCGAAGAGGAGGAGGTACGGATTTCAGCAGCAAGGGTGGGAATGGCCCTCAGGAGGTTCCACCTGACACCCCAAACTTCCCAATGCCATGTCCCACAGTGAGGCATTGAGTGCTTTTGAGCAGGGACACCTCCTCCCTTTCTCTGGACGTTTGCTACAATGTTCCAGTGAAGCCAAACTGAAGATGGAGGAACAGCACGTCATTTTCTGATTAAACACTTCAGGGCTGAACTGTGTGCTCAACAAGTTCAGATCATAAACACTGTTTTCCATTTTGATGTATGTTTTCTTTCCTCCTCAGCGTCTGTACCTTGATTTCATATTTTTGCTTTCAGTAAGAGTTGACCGATATTATTTTTAACACCTGTTTATTTAATAGTCTCTGCTCTGCAACCATCGCGATTCACTATGTCTTTTATTTCATGACACCTTTGATCTCTAATCTCCCTTGCCCACTAAACTTTTCCATACTGTCTCATTGACTCCTTCTCCATTCTTTTACAACAGCATAAAGGGGAGGTAATGGCCTAGTGGTATTATCACTGGACAGCTAACCCAGAGACCCAGGTTCGAATCCTGACACGGCAGATGGTAGAATTTGAGCTCAATTAATAAACAAAATCTGGAATTAAGAGTCTAAGTGATGACAATTGTCAATTGTCAAAAAAACCTACCTGGTTCACTACTGTCCGTTAGGGAAGGAAACTGCCATTCTTACCAGGCCCGGCCTACATGTGACTCCAGACCCACAGCAATGGGGTTGACTCTTAATGGACAATAAGTGCTGCCATAGCCAGCAATAATCTCATCCCATGAACGATTAAAAAAAAACACATCACATTTCCATCTCTCTTCAGTTCTGAAGGGTCAGATTGGACTCAAAATGTCAACTCGTTTTGCTCTTCACCAAAGCTGCAAGACCTGATCAGTTTCTGATTTTCTGATGAAGAGTCTAGGCCCGAAACGTCAGCCTTTCTGCTCCTATGATGCTGCTTGGCCTGCTGTGTTCGTCCAGCTCTACACCTTGTTATCTCAGTTTCTCCATCAGTTTGTTTCTAAAAGGAAATTTGGGTTTTATTAAATTTCAGCCTTACTTAGAGAAAGCACAAGTCTTTGCAGCTATGTGATTGAGAAAGGGATGGGCTCCAAGCTGGCCCATTTGCCAGAAATAGGAGGAGTAGGATATTCAACCACTTCAGCCTGCTTTATGATTTGATTAGATCATGCTGATGCCCTGATTGTGCCCTCAATTCCATTTTCCTATCTGTCCCCCATAACAATCAACTCCCTTGATGATCAAAAACCTGTCTAATGTAGCCTTGAATATATTAAATAGCCCAATATCTGAGGGAAGGTTACTAATAAAACCTATTGTGACACAGGTCAAAGGATAGGTACTCAACTTGCAGTGGTAAGGGAGTACTGATATTAAAAATAAAATTTAAAACTGTCACACCAACCTTTGCTGGTCTCCTACAGGTGATGAAAATCTTGATCCTTTTTTCTCCTTCTTACCAGATGAAGATAATTTGGGACTTGTTCTACGCTTAGGAGATTTGCTTGTCTTTCTTGGAGACGGGGAGTGCTTATTTCTCACTGGTTCTGGAGAAATCTGCAATATATAGTGTATATTTATTTTTAAAATGTAGTCTGCGATGTTAAAATTTGTAAAAGAGATTAATCTGCAATGGTATAATAGTTGTGCCTGAATCATATATATAGGCATTTACAATTGTAGTGTCTCATTACCTATGCTGCAAGGTTATTTTGCCATTACTGTCTACCTGCTAACAGGCTTAAGAAGGAAGTCAAACACATACTTTCAAGTGCAAATAAACTCTGTGATTGCAAAGTTCAGTAAATGACCGTGAATTTTTAAGGCGGCCAGTGGTGGGTAAATTGTTGGAGGAAATTGTATTAGATAGGATTTACGGATATTTAGAGAGGCAAAAATTGATTATGGATTGTCAGCATGGTTTTGTGCGAGGAAAATCGTGTCTCACAAAATTTATTGAGTTTTTTGAGGAAGTTACCAAGAAGATTGATGAGGGCAGAGCAGTAGATGTTGTTTATTTAGACTTTAGTAAAGCCTTTGACACAGTTGCGCATGGTCGATTGATTAGTAAAGTTAGGTCACATGGGATTCAGGGTGAGCTTGCCAATTGGATATAAAACTGGCTTAACGACAGGAGACGGAGAGTGGTGGTGGAGGGTTACATTTCGGACTGAAGGCCTGTGAGCAGTGGTGTTCCACAGGAATCAGTTCTCGGTCCTCTTTTGTTTAGCATTTATATCAATGATTTGGATGAGAATATAGAAGGCATAGTTAGTAAAATTGGTGGCATTGTAGACAGTGAAGAAGATTTTCTAAGATGACAAAGGGATCTTGATCAACTGAGTCAATGGACTGAAAAATGGCAGATGGAGTTCAATCTGGATAAATGTGAGGTATTGCATTTTGGTACAACATACAAGGATAGGGCTTATACAATTAATGGTAAAGCCTTGGGTAGTATTGTAGAACAGAGGGACCTAGGGGTGCAGGTACATAATTCTTTAAAGATTGCATCAAATATAGACAGGGTGGTTAAAAAGGTGTTTGGCACGCTTGGCTTCACTGCTCAGTCCTTTGAGTGTAGGAGTTGGGAAGTCATGCTGAGGTTGTACAGTACATTAGTGAATCCTCTTCTGGAGTACTGTGTCCAGTTCTGGTCGCCCAGTTGTAGGAAGGATATTATTAAGCTGGAGATGGTTCAGAAGAGATTTACCATGATGTTGCTGGGTGTGGAAGGTTTGAGTTATAAAGAAAGGCTGGATAGGCTGGGACTTTTTTCACTGGAGTGTAGGAGGTTGAGAGGCGACCTAATAGAAGTTTCTAAAATAATGAGGGGTATAGATAGAGTTAATTGCAGTTGTCTTTTCCCTAGGGTGGGGGATTTCAAGACTAGGGGCCACATTCTTAAGGTGAGAAGAGAGAGATTTAAAAAAGACATGAGGGGCGAATTTTTTACACAGAGGATGGTTTGCGTGTGGAATGAACCTCCGGAGGAAGTAGTGGAGGCAGGTACAATTACAACGTTGAAAAGACCTTCAAATAGATACATGAATAGGAAAGATTCGGAGTGATACAGGCCAGGAGCAGGCAGGTGGGACTAGTTTAGTTTGGGATTATGTTCGGCATGGACTGGTTGGGCCGAAGGTTTTGTTTCCGTGTTGTTGGACTCTATATGTACAAGAAACAAAAATTATAAAACAACAATTTAGCAAACAAACTACAGTCTTTCACCATTTTCCTTTTTGAGGAAACATTTGAGAGAATTCCCACCACATCCATGCCCATTTTATACTGCTACCAATTTGCTCATTAATTGTTTAATAAATTAAATTTTCATTTGAAACTTAAATGAGGTGTAATGTGATTTTCCACTGCTTATCAAAAAATGAAAAGAGATCCTGTGGAAACAAGTGAGTGACTCCAATAGCTTGGAAATAAGCACAGATCTCTCTCCCTTTATCTTGGGTCCTTAAACAACATTTACCCAGATTTTAAGACAAGTGAAGATGCTTTCAGAGCTACAGGGATTTGGAGCTCATTTGGACAGTGAGCCAAGAAACAAGAATCACAACTAAAGCCAGCACAAAAACAGGAAATAGACATAAGAATATTGTTTCTAAAAGATAAAGTATCAAACTGCTGAGATGTATCAGGTTTACTGGAAAACTGCACATTCCTCCTCAATTAATCCTTAAACACTTGCCCACAAATAGATAATTTTTCGCTATATTTTTAGAAATACAAACAAAAAAAGTTGAAAAACCTGTAAAAATATTTCTAATGTTTGGCATAATATGTTCAATTTAAGCTGTGGAACAGAATTGTTCAGTTTTAAGTAGTTGAAAACATGTCACAGGCTGTTAGCCTGCTTTGACTCATTATGATGTTTAGGTCTTGCCACTGAGACTCTAGTCAAGAAGTTTCCTTGTCCACAAACCTCCTTCTTGATGACTATTTCCTCTCTTTTTTCCATGTTTTCCTGTTCAAGTTTCATCAGCTCCCGTTGTATTTTCTGCCGCTTCAGCTCAAGGGACAGTTCATGATCATAATCATAGTTAATATCTCCATTATCAGAATCTGTAAACACATAGTACTACCATGATAGAAAAACAGCCACACATAAAAAATGAACAGACTTGATAACCTCTTCAACCAATCTCCTCCCACAAAGGAGTCAGGACTACTGAAATAATTAAGCTAGAAAAACATATCTTAAACAACCTACATGTTTTTAAAGGTTCCCGTTTGTGACGAGATATTTAATTGGTAAAATAAATAACGCAACCTTCGCTGCTGGTAAAATGTCCTGATTCAGTTTAGAAGCTCAAAATAAGAACAGCATTGTTTTTAAAGAATCAGAGTTTACAGTTTAGGTACGACTTCCTCAACAGTCATATCCTACTTGCATTCCACTTGCTGTTTTGATTGCATGTCAAGTCACTGCAGTGCAGCGCAGTACAGTGGCAAAGTGCTTATACTCCGAGGTCTCCTACACTTCTTTGTGCACATTTATACATTCATCTTCTGCATTTAAATTTAACTGCCTTTCTTTGCATTACTTACACAGTTTACAAAACTCATTTAATTCCTCACGGAAGTCTGGTACCGCATACATATTTAACTTGTTCAACAATCCTTCTGAATCTGACGTTATTTTTATATTGTGAATCAAGAAGCAAGCCAGCACAACAATATAAAAGCAACATTACTTGTACTCAATCAGAGACAGTGTTTATACCAATTCCTCAGGCATTCTGCTTGCCACCACTGATACCATTCAACCAATCTTTCATCTACCACGAACTCTTGTTCTGAATTTCCAACATTTAGTGGAATTTTGCAAACAAGCTTTCAGAGGTTGATATGCACAAAGTAGGCCTTTCTGCAGTACAGTTGGGAATTCACTTATCATAAAGTCAATAAGGTTAACCAGCAACTACCTTCTTCTGAATAGAATTTGGTATTCAGTTTATTCAATCATCCAGGAGACCTTAAGGTGACCATTTACAGTCAATTATTTAATCTGAAAGGTCTACAGTTACTTGATTTGTTCTGGCTATATATTCTTTCAAATGGATAATATATTAGCTCCTTTGTAACGCAAGAGGACCATGTATTGATTGACATAGAAAGATTCACTGCCTCCACCAGCGACGGTCAGTAGCAGCAGCAGTGTGTACTATCTACAAGATGCACTGCAGAAATTCACCGAAGATCCTCAGAGAGCACCTTCCAACCTCACGACCACTTCCATCTAGAAGGACAAGGGCAGCAGATACATGGGAACACCACCACATCCAAGTTCCCCTCCAAGTCACTCACCATCCTGACTTGGAAATATATCGCCGTTCCTTCACTGTCGCTGGGTCAAAATCCTGGAATTCCCTCCCTAATAGCATTATGGGTCAACCCACAGCAGGAGGATTGTAGCAGCTCAAGAAGGCAGCTCACCACCACCTTCTCAAGGGCAACTAGGGATGGGCGACGCCCACATCCCACAAAATAAATAGAAAATAAAAATTAAAAAAGCAGCATATTATTTAAACGGAGAATGACTGCAGAATACCAAGGTGTAGAGGGGTTTGAATGCTCTGGTGTACAAGCCACAAAAAGTTAGTATACAGGCACAGCATGTAATCAAGAAAGTTAATAGGATGCTATGCGTTATTAGAAGAGGAACTGAACATAAAAGGATGGTATCCTGTTACACAGCATATTGGTGAGACTACACCTCAAAAGCAGCATGCAATTTTCTGCTCCTTATTTAATGGAGGATGTAAATGCATTGGAGGCAATTTAGAGAAGGCTTACTAGATTGGCACTAGGAATGAGCATTATAAGTTTGGGCTTGTTTCCACTGGAATTTAGAAGACTGAGGGGTGACTTGATTGAAGTGCTTAAGACGCTGATTGGTCTTGAAAAGGATGTTTCCTCTTGTCAGTCAGTGAGTCCAGAACTAGGGGGTGAGAGATGTGGAGTTCTTTTTCCCCTCATTAGGTGCAATTTTGAAACTTTATGCCTCAGAAGGCAGTAGAAATGATATCATTTAATAATTTTTAGGATGGAGGTTGATAAATTGTTGTCAGGCAAGGGAATTTGGCATAGATGGGAACATGGGATTTGAAACACAAAAAGATAAGCTGTGATTGTACTGAACGGCAGAGAGGGCTCAAGGGACCAAATGGTATTTTCCTCTTATATTCCATATGCTTCGAGGACATCCTCTTAATTGTTGTTACCTTTAAACGCCTCAGAATAAACATTATCTTTTCCTTAGGATTTTTGACTTCAAAAATAGAGATTCCGTTGAAGGAGACTGGCACAACACATTAGAAAAACGCAGGGACCTGGGTTTTGCCGTGTCTTCATCATTTCAGGGATTTTGCTGTACCTGTTCCTTGAAGCAAATTCTATCAGAGGGGCAGCATCTCCATGCATTTGGGATCCACAGTTCCTTGGTTTAGTAGCAGCTTATGTAGTACTGGAGGCCAGCAGTGAGTGAGCAGAAGCGTGCCAACTCCAGATGGACAGAAGTGGGGCCTACCTGGAAGAGTCTACACCAAGCCAAGCAGGTGGAACCGCTCAAAAAGGCAGGATTTATTTTCTTTTAAAATCTTGACCCAGTGCCAAAGAAAATAAACCAAAGGAATTGGCAGGCATAATCCCTGCAAGGACACCTGGATAGCATTTCTAGAATTTCGGAACTGTGCTACATAGCTCTTCCAGGACTTCCATCATGTCCACATTGAATTGCTAATCTTACTAGAATGAACAATAATTGTGGAAATCACGTTACTTGTCTCTTTTTTGATATTTTCAGGAAATATTCAATGACACAGTTGTTAGGCATTCTTGTTTCTTCTCAAGGTTTGTAAAATTTCTAGTGTTGTCAACACTTGCTGTTACAGTAGTGGAAAATCTTTTACAGCACTATGTGAAAAACTTCCAATGGACTCAATCCCAGAATCCTCACTGCCTCTCTGACCACCTTTTTAAAAATGCTACTGAACTTTCTTACATTCTTTACAATATCTACTTTTGGCACCAGACACGTTTTCTCCTAAAAGAGTTGTGAAATCTATTTTCTTCCTTACTTGACTTCTGACTCTTCATTTTACTTCTTCATCACTTTGTCCTAGGTCCTTGGTAAGACAATTAAAACCATTGTTTTGTTTTCTAAAAGATGCCAATAGCTAGCCATCATGTAACTACATGGATGAGTAATACAAGCTTCCTCCTTTTGGTTAGTGAAGTAATATCACAATTTTTAAAATGTTACTTCTCAAATATGATGGTTTCTGAACTTCAAACACTAGTCATTATTCCCAGTCAGTAGAATCCTACAGACAGATGCAGTGTTCTGGTGCGGAACAGAGAAATGCCAAATATTTGGAGAAAACGTATTGAACTATTTGAAAAAAAATTTGTTTTCTGTTTGTTCATTTTAAACTGTTTTCTTGCTCAGACTGTCTTACTGTATTTGCTAAATCTATTAATATAGTTAGATTCCTAATCTTGGTCCCAACTTCCAAGTGATTTTATAGACACCATGTTTGCATGCACGTTATTTTTGGTTATAGAAATGGAATCTAACTTACCATCCCTGCCTGCTTCCCAATCAGCTGGTTCTTCCTCACTTTCTGGGGTGCGCTCCTTCGTAATTTTGAGGTTAGCATCTTCTTTTTCCCTATGTCTGCTCCTCGAAGAATCCCTCTAATTAAAATTAGAATGCTTTTCATTGTACGATACTAAAAAACAGCAAAATACATTTCTGCAGAGTTATTTGCTTTGGTAAATCTAAATTTACCAACACAGAATTCAGTTACATCATGTTCTTCCTATGTTGGCAAGTCTCAATCACAATTTTTGGGCTTATTATTTGTTCAACTTCCTCAAAAACATTAACATCAAGAAACAAATTTAACTGCTTATAAATGTCTACAGATCCTAAAATTCCAAAGCAATTAAACCTAGCTTGCATTATAACAAAAGAGGGAATCAAATTATTCTGCTTGAAAAGTTTTCGAGAAAAAAGCCAAGCATAATTTCATGCTACCAACCATCACTCTATCTATCCTTCTCAATAACCTAAAAACTCTCAATTCTTTTTTAAATTTAGAAACAAAAATTATTGCCTAAACCCAATGTTTAAGGGTCAACCTTAACTGGAATATCGGTCAGTTAACTTCATAAATTCTGAAATAGGCATCATCCTCACCCTTGTTGGAGATGAAGTCTCATCCTGGGCTCTCTTCTGTGGCTCAGATTCCACATCTTGCCTTTTGTTCTTCATTCTCTCTCGTAAATCACCAGTTGGCCTTTCTGGAGATCTGTATACCCACAAAATAAAGTAACACACTTTTCTCTGTTGATACAAAGCAGAAATGTTTCTAAGGGATTCTTGTTTCTAATCTTTAGTTCAAAACACAGACAAGAGGGCATGCACGACCACTGCCTTAGAGATATGCAGAAGATGTATTTATTGATGAATAACATAACCCATGCAATTACCACCAAGTTAATTTAAATGCCACAATGTAGATAATAACTGATGAAACTAAGCTCAACTTTAACTAAGCAACTAGAAAGTTAAGCACATCCAAGCAAATCATTCTGAAGCTATTACTTTTTTTTCCAATTAGCTGCTGGGCCACCATTAATCCAGGATTCTGCTATACTATTAGCCTGAAGGAGCTTCGAGATTTGCATCACTTTAAAAACAGGCAATTTGAAACTTTAAAAAGTTTAATAACAGTCAATCAACTAAAACAAAAACACAATTCATCACTTACAATAACCTAGGCAAGACATTCTAGCTAGAGGCTTCTATTTGGGCTCACCCAAACTGAGCAGCCTTCACCTAAATGACAATATCCTGGCTGTGTCTGGCAGGCTTGAATAGCAGGATCACCCTCGGACTGTAATTTAGAATTACTCACACATCTTAGTGTTGATCACTTT